ACTACTACTACTATTAATACAATTAGTACTAGAACTTATATTACTTTTGCTACAATTACGACAAGAGACAGGGGCACCGCGTTCTTTTTTCAAAGGGCCAAGCTTCAAAACCGAAACTGCACAGGGCCCCAAAAAGCAGTCCGAAACAGCTCGGAAACATGTTTGAAACAGCCCCGAAGTGCCTCAAGCCACCACAGGGCCTATTTGAGCAAATTGTCCAATTATTATTACGATTTCTGTTACGATTATTACTACTAGTGCTACTACTACTACTATTGCTACAACTATTATTACCACCACCACCAGCACCACTACTATTACTACTTCTACTGTTGCTTCTACTACTACTACTACTACTACTATTACTGCTGCTGCTGCTGCTGCTACTACTACTACTACTGCTATTACTACTACTACTACTACTACTACTACTACTACTGCTACTGCTATTGCCACAACTACCACCACCACCACCACCACCACCACTACTATCACTTCTACTACTATTCCTACTATTACTACTACTACTACTACTGCTGCTGCTGCTACTACTACTACTGCTACTACTACTACTACACTTATTATTTTTACTCATACTACTACAAGTAAGGTCCGGCAGAGCCGGGGAGCGGAAGTTTTATATAAAAACTATAGTTGTCTTTCTTTTTTTCCTTGATTCTTTTTCTCTTCTTCTTCCTTTTCATGGTTTGTTTTTTCTCCGTCATTCTTCCTTTCTTCCTTTCTTTCCTTCCTTCCTCCCTTCTTTCCTTCTTTCTATCTGTCTTTTCTTTTTTTCTTTCGTTTGCTTGTTTTTGTGCTGTTCTTTCTTTTATCTCTTCTCTATCTATCTATTTGTCTACCTATCTATTTGTGTTATCTATCTATCTGCTTATCTATTTATCTATCTCTCTATCTATCTTCTCTATCAATCTATCTCTTTATTTATCTATCTATATATCTACCTATCTCTTTATCTCTCTATCTATCCATTTGTCTCTCTCTCTCTATCTGTTTATCTATTTATTTATTTACCTCTCCATCTATTATCTATCTATCTACCTATCTATTTATTTATTTCTCTATCCATCTACTTATCTATCTATCTATCTTTCTATTTCCCTTTCTATCCATTTATCTAAGCTTTCTCTATCTATCTATCTATCTATGTATCTATTTATCTGTTTGTCTATCTATCTTCTGTTTGTTTATCTATCTATCTATCTATTTATCTCTATCTATTTATATCTTTATCTTTCTTTCTTTCTATCTATCTATCTATCTATCTATCTATCTATCTCTTTGTCTTTCTATTTATCTATCTATCTATCTCTTTCTCTCTCTCTCTATCTTCTTCTATCTGTCTATCTATCCATCTATTTATCTCTCCATCCATCTCTTCATCTATCGGTCTTCTATCTGTTTATTTCTCTAGCTATTTATCTATCTCTTTATTTCTCTATGTATCCCTCTATCTACATATCTATCTATTTCTTTCTCTATTTGTCTATTTCTCTATCTCTTTATCTATCTATTTATTTCTTTATTTCGTGTATTTATCAATCTCTTTATCTTTCTATCTATCTATCTCTATCTATCAACCTCTTTATCTATTTCTCCATTTCTCTTTGTCTCTACCTATCTATCTATCTATGCATCTACCTCTCCATCTATCTATTTGTTTATCTATCTATTCATCTATCTATTTATCTATCTATTTGTTTCTCTATCCATCTATCTATCTATCTATCTATCTATCTCTCTATCTCTTTTTCTGTCTCTGTATGTATTTCTCTCTATCAGTTTATCTATCTGTCTATGTATTTGTTTATCTATCTATTCATCTATTTATTTATCTATCTATTTGTTTCTCTATCCATCTACTTATCTATCTATCTATCTATCTCTCTATCTCTTTTTCTGTCTCTGTATTTATTTCTCTCTATCAGTTTATCTATCTATCTATGTATTTGTTTATCTATCTATCTATTAATTTCTCTATCTCTTTATCTATCTATCTATCTATTTATTTCTCTATCTGTTTCTCTATCTCTTTATCTCTCTTTCTTTCTATTTATCTATCTCTCTATCTCTTTCTCCATATCTATCTATCTATCTGTCTATCTATCTTTTTATTTCTCTATCTGTTTCTCTATCTCTTTATCTCTCTCTCTCTCTCTCTCTGTCTGTCTATCCATCTATCTCTTTCTCTCCATCTTTCTATCTATCTCTATCTGTCTACCGATCTATCTATCCATCTATATCTGCACTTAAAAGTTGTGATTTTCAATCCTCGAAAATTGGCTTTACGTACTACTTTCGTACTCAAAAGTTGCGATTTTCGAGCCCCCCTGCGAAAGTGGACTTCACGCACTACTTTCGTACTTAAAAGTTGCGATGTTCCAGCCCCAGCTCCGGAAGTGGACTTCACGTACTACTTCCGTACTTAAAAGTTGCGATTTTAAAGACCCAGCTGCGAAAGTTGACTTCGCGTACTACTTTCGTACTTAAAAGTTGCGATTTTGGAGCCCCAGCGTACTACTTTCGTACTTACAAGTTGTGCCCGTCTGCGGTGCTGCGCCTTGACCTTGCGAAAGTGGCGCGCCTGCCACGGATTTTGCACTTGACGTTGCGAAAGTGATGCGCCTGCCACGAAATCTGTACTTGCTGCGCCTGCCATACTTGCCTGCCATACTTGACCTTGCGAAAGTGCTGCACCTGCCACAGAATCTTATCACTTGACCTTTACGAAAGTGCTGCACCTTGCCACAGAATCTTAATAGCGACCTTGCAGAAATTGTTGCGCGTGCCACAGAATCATAGCGAATGCTGCAAGTGCTTGCACCTTGCACACGAGTCAAACTGCTTTGACCAGCGCGAAAGTGTAGCCTTGCTTACGAGGTATAATTGACCTTGCGGAGAAGTGTACGCCTTGCCACAGGAATTTATGTAGATCTTGCGAGTGTATACCACAGAATGTGTCATGACCTTGCGAAGTGCTGCGCCAACGTAAGTCTATGCTTGACCTTGCGAAATTGCTTGCGCGCGCACGTCGCTGACCACCTTGCAGAGAACGCGCCACGAAATGTATACTTGACCTTGCGAAAGTGCTGCGCCTGCCACGAAATCTACACTTGACCTTGTGTTGCCGCCTTGCACCATGATTTACTTGACCTTGCGAGTGCTGCGCCCTGCATCACCCCGACGCGCGAAGTGCCCGCGCCTGCAGGATGCAATACTTGACCTTGCGAAAGTGCTGCGCCTGCCACGAAATGTATACTTGACCTTGCGAAAGTGCTGCGCCTGCCACGAAATCTACACTTGACCTTGTGGAAGTGCTGCGCCTGCCACGGATTTTGCACTTGACCTTGCGAAAGTGCTGCGCCTGCCATACTTGACCTTGCGAAAGTGCTGCGCCTGCCACGAAATCTATACTTGACCGGCACGCCCAGGGAGTGCTGCGCCTGCCGCAAATCTGTGCCGACCTTGCCCGAAAGTGCATATACCATAGAATCTATGTGACGATCGCCACCTGCCATAGGCTGATAGCGACGCGAAAGTGCTGCGCCTGCCACGCAATTCAATCCTTGCGAAACCTCCGCGTTGCCGTGCCAATGGGCCCGCGCTCCGAGCATGGTCCGAACGCGCTCCGAACGAGCTCCGAGAGTGGTCCGACCAGGCGCCGCGAACAGGCTAGCTTTCGGCTCTCCGGAGACACCAATTCACGCACGGGGCCATGTTTTTCTATACTTCCACCACACGCGCGCACATGTTTTCTCGCGCGCTTATTCCTTCTCTTCATTTGTCTCAGCGAGAGCTGGCTTTCAATTAGTTGCCGTAACACGGAAGTTCCTTCTAAACTTCCTTTGGTGAAGTTAATGTCCGACAAACCAATCGCATCTGACGTGCTAACCAGACAAAAGTGACCGTGCGCCATTTTGTGTCATTTCCATGTTGTCCGGCTGAGCCCCATTGCAGTGTAAGCGCTGATGATATGCAATGTGATGTATATGTACTAGAAGTAGTTTCATTTGTATGTGTAGTGTGCGTACTGTCAGGCAAGGTAGCGTGAGGCGACTTAATGTTGCGCGCGTACGTAAGAAATGCCAGAATGAGCACAAGCGCACATCACACATGCATGTGCAGGTTCAAATGCAACTGTAGTGTGATGCAGCGAAGTAAAACCTTACTTTAATGTAGGGGCTTGCTATGTGCTCTATGTTGTGCATGGTGTCTGTGCATGACATATATGGTTGCTGTCCCAGCCAAAAATGCGACGAACATGTCACGTGTGGAGCATGTGTGGGGGCAATTGCGTTACGTGTGTACACGAGTGCACGTTTTCCGGTTTGTACATGCTTGCCTTCCTTCTCCCAAAGCACATGTCCGGAACCATGCGCTCGCGAGCTTGCAGGCCCCGATCCCGGAGAAGAGTGAGATGGAGATCCATGAGCTTCAGAATGAGGTTAGAGCCTGCGAGCACGGCTACACCTCACAGAAGATTTGACCCTCGCTCGCGTTTTTACCCCACGGTTGGCAGAAGTTTTGCTAGCAACTTTTGTTTCAACCGCTGCTTGCGCTGGGCTCAGGTTATCATTCTCACGTGGCCCCCGTTGTCGTGGCTCTGTGAGTGCGGCGTTTCGGACTATGAGGGCCATTTCTGAACATTCCCAATATTATGTTACTTTCTCGATGCGAAGCAGCGAGATGCCTGAGCTGACTACAAATTCGATTGCGCCACCTTTTTGGGGCACCTGCGCACGAACTTGGGCTGTCCGATAGTTTTTAGTCCTTTGTTTGTTTCAGAGCTTTCAATGATATCGCCTTGCACGAGACGCGGGTTTTGCCCCACACCTGTTGAACCTTGACGCACCGCCCTTTGAGGCCTTTTGTGACCTGATATGGCACGTGTCGCCAAAAGGGGGGTTCAGAAGTGCCCTTCTCACTTTCGTCTACATTGCCATGCTTTGAAGGGCTTCTTTTGTGCTACGCGGCTGGTGCAGGTGAGATGCGACGACATCCTCTCGAGCACTGCAGGCAGTGGGCATCCTTTGTTCTGGGATGTGTTTTTTCCCGTTTTTTTGTTTTAAGTTTTTTTCTTTTTATTTTTCGCTTTTGGCTTCTTGGCTTTTTGGATTTTTAGCTTCTTGGCTTCTTGGCTTTCCGGCTTCTTGGCTTCTTGGCTTCTTGGCTTTTTGGCTTCTCGGCTTCTGGGCTTGTCTGCTTTTTGTTAGTGTATGCGGCTTTTGGTGGCTTTTTGGCTTTGGCTTTTCGCATCCTCTGCATTCCCAGTTCCTCTTCGGCAGGTGGCATTTTGGCTTTTGCAGCTTTTCGCGGGTTTATGCGGCTTTTGGGAGCTTTGGCTTTTCGCATCCTCTGCTTTCACAGTTCCTGTCTGGGCTTTTTGGCTTTTGCACCCTTTCATTGGTTTTTGGATTTGGCTTCCCGCATCATCAGCATCACCAGTTCCTCCCTATTTGAATCATCACTTCTGCGATCATCATGGGGGGGGAAGAGTAATTGCACCGCTATTTGAATCAACACTTCTTCAAACATCATGGGGGGGCTGCCGTCCCCCCCCCCCAACCCCCCCACTACTTTTTAGATTTCTTGCAGAGATTGAATTGCACCCCTATTTGAATCATCACTTTTTCGAGCGTCCAGTTTCGCGAGAAAATGCTGCAAAATACGACGTTTTAGGCAATCTGTGCAATCCATGTATGTCTGTGTGTATGCACTTCTTCGAACATCATAGGGGAAGTTACTCTCGCTAACCCTCCCGCTGCCTTTTAAATTCTATCGCACCCTTTCTTGAATCATTGCACCCCTACTTGAATCATCACTTTTTCCGACATCATGGGGGGAGTGCCCAACCCCCCCGCTACGTTTTAGATTTTCCACGGAGATTTAATTGCACCCCTAGTTGAATCATCAATTCTTCGAACATCATGGGGGGCTGCTGCCCCCCCAACCCCCCCGCTACTTTTAGACTTTTTGCAGAGATTGAATTGCACACCTATTCGAATCATCACTTCTGCGAACATCATGGGGGGGGGCGGGGGGCAGCCCCCCCCAACCCCCCCGCTACTTTTTAGTTTTTTTTACAGGGACTGAAATGCCCTCCTATTTGAATCATATTTTTTTTGACCCCGCCAACCCGCCAGCTACTTTTTCGATTTTGGTACCCTTGGTTTGTTGGTGATGCTAGGGATGTTGGGTCGGACATGCGGGGGATGTTGAAAATGGGGATGTTGGCGGGCTAGTGTAAATGCTGTAAAATACGGCATTTTACTGGCCGGGACGAAAAAAAAAGAAGCAATCTCCAAAAAATCCGAAAAAGTCCCAAAATAAATCCGCACCCTTTGTTCTGTGCCAGTTGCGGCCGCTCTCTTTTTCTGTTTCGATGCACGGAAGGAGTTGGTTTCACTTTCACGCGCGCGTTTTTGTTTTTGAGATGATACCCTTTGTCCGACAATCATGGAAGTGAAAGGTTACTTAAAAGGAAGGCAGTCTTCCCACTGCCTGTCTTCCATGATTGGAAGGGGTCATGCCTTTGTGGGTTGGACTTTGCGAGGCGCCACTGAGCCCTTGGCCGCCATGGTGGTGGATGTTGCCGTGGATGGCGGCGAGGGCGATGGCAGGCTCCCCCAGGATGGGATCGGAGGTTTGCGTCGGCATGAAGGGGTTTTGGGGTCCGTCTGCCTATTTTTTAGAGCGAGCTCTGGGTGTATGGCGATGAGCATCGATGTGTACTCGTGCTTGGTTTGTGCGGAACGGGCGGGAAACATCTTTGCGGCCGTCAAGGCTCCGAGACATGGCCACTCTTTTTCCAGAAATGGGGGCTTTACGCGAGTGCGTGTTTCCGTCTCGGGGCCCCTTTCCGCCAGAACCGAACACGAGCTTTCCACGACAAAGGTCCTTTGCTTGGGGATCCCTAAATCTCAAGTTTCGGATAAATTTTAACATTTGCAGATCCCTGAAAACCAGTCGTTGATTGCTTTCGCTGTAACCTCATGTTTGCTTGCTGAACCCGCTTCTCCCATTTGGCTTGCTGGGCTGGCGCAGGAGTTGGAGACCGTGGAAGCATGGAGTGGCCGGCGCCTTGAAAAAGCCTTGCGTAGCATGTGTGACTTGAGAGATTTGTTGCTGGAACGTTTGAGGCCTTTTGTCATTCCTGGCCAAAGGCCTGGATCTTACAGAACCGGTTGCTGGGGCCAGACGTGGGTAAACACCGGGGGATGTTTCTCCCCAGTTGGTGAGGAAGCCGCTTGGTTGCCAACATGGGGTCGCTCAGTCAAGGCAGGAGTGCTGATCACATTGGGTGGTCCCTTGCCCTTGGCGAGGGCCACGCCGTGCCTCCTCAGCGGCCTTGGCCCTGGTGGGAGCTGCAGAGCAGCATGGTTTGCAGGCTGGGGCCTTTGGGTGGCGACTCTCATGATTGCCCTGCATGAGGAGTTGATGCGTTGCAACGAGCCAGGTTTGGTCAACCATCTATCCTGGCACTTTGGGAAAGGAGCCTTTGGAGAGACACTATGATTCAGCAGTGTTTGACCGTGTGGGGGTTGAGCAAAAGGTCCTTTACATGGAATGGCCATTGGGGAAACCAGCAAAAGATGAGATCACCCACCCCCCATGCATCGATTCTATTTTTACTTGTTATTTTTAATTTTATGGGCAGGATGGTGCTTCCTCAGTCGCCGCAGGCGCAGATCTCGATCTCGTGATGCTTTTGTCTCGCTTTGCTTCGGCCTTAGGCGTCGATGCCAATTTGCTCATCCTTGTGGGTGACGGACTTTGCCGTGATCGCTGGGAGCGAGCTCAAAAAGGCCCGGGCAGACCGGTCTGCAAGCGCCAAGCGCTAGAATGAGGCCGACTGCAAGGGCCGGACACTCTGTGCTCTTGCAACTTGTGCCCGGCGCATGTTGTTTACAGGAACAAATTCTGCAAGCACCTTTGGGCTGAGGTTTGTGCGATGGGTCGCTGGTGTGGTCGGCATTTGTTGAAAAGGCATTGCTCGCCAGCATCCGGCCGTGGCAGTCAGCAGTCATGTTTGTGCCGCTGATGGCCCAGACAGATCTCCATGTCCACCGGTCAATGTGGGATGTGGCAAGAGGCCCTTCCAAGGGTGGCCTTCTGTGAAGGCCGCGGCGGGGGCAAGTCCTTGCCCAGTCACGACCTTAAAGCCCATGGAGCTCCGTTCGACGTAATCTCTTACAACTGCGCGATCAGTGCGAGCGCTTGGCAAGAAGCTCCGCGCTTGCTCCAGGAGATGTGCGCCAAGGGGCATGATTGGAGTGCGGTGACCCTGAATGCTGCCATGACGGTCTGCCAGAGAACAGCTCAGTGGCTCAAGTGCGTGGCTCTGCTAAGGTGCTTCAAGGCAAGGCTGCTAAAGCCAACGCAGGTATCATATGCTGTGTCAATAGGTGCCGGCGAGTGGCAGGCTGGATTGCTCCTCTTGCAGAGGATGCTTGTTGTACACCTTCGCCCGAATCCGATTTTGTACAACGTGGGCATCGCTTCCACGGCGTGGCAGTGGGCTTCGGAGTTCTTCCGAGAGCTTGCGGCCCAGAAGTTGGAGTCGACCGTGGTAACCGAGAACTCGGCGATCGCCTCATTGGCCAAGGCCGGCCAGTGGCAGACGGCTTTGGCTTTCGCAAGCCGCAGAATTGACGTGGTTGGCTACGGCGCCATGGCAAATGCTTGCGAGAGGGGCCATCGCTGGCCTTGGTCTTTGCAGGTTTTGCAGTGCATGCAGAAGCAGCGCCTCAGAAGAAACATCATTACCTGCAATGCGGGGCTTGGTGCTTGCAAGGAATCTGGGCAGTGGAAGCTGGGAATTGGAATGTTCAAGGAGCTGCAGCATGAGTCTTTGAAGCCAAGCGTGTCAACTCAGAGCGCGCTGGTCAGCACGGTGGCCTCTGGTGGCTTGTGGAGGGAAGGATTGCTGCTTGGAAGGCCATTGGGGGAGGCAACTGTGGAGCCCACGGTGATCGCCGAGAGTGCGGCCATCACTGCTTGTGAAAAGGGCACCCGCTGGGAGGTTGCCGTGACCAGCCTTCAGCGCTTGCACTGTTGCCGACTTCGGGCAACGGAGACCACGTACAGCGCCTTCACTGTTCGTCGATCAAGCTATATTTTTGTGTGATTAGCCATGTCTTAAACCATCACCAGGGATGTCGCGATAGTGACTGACCGGTGGTGTTTGGCTCAAGTTTGCGGGTCCGTCGCGCCTCGGATGAGCGTCGCCGGGTCCCCGCGTCGATCACCTTCGTGTCGGTGGAGAAAGGGACATCGGCCCGGGGCAGATTGGTGGGGTCCGCCCGTGCGGTTCATCGTCGATCAAGGTTGCGGGTACTTGTTTACTTGTTTTGGTTTTTCCCTTTTGGTTGTTGTTCTCTGGTGTGTGGGAAACCCTGATCTTTGGGACCGGGGATTGGTTTGCTTTTGGGGAACCTTTCTTTTGTGGCTTGTTTACCCCAACTTACCCATTGCCTGGGCACAGGCTCGTGCCCGAATCACAGGTTATCAGCCGTAGGACTTTCCTACGCGCTTGAGACCATCAACTACAAGCTCTATGTCGACCCCACGATCTCAAGGAGTGTCGTGGATGAGGAGGCCATCCTAGGGGCCTCCGCTCAGGTGAGGACCTACCGGACTTCGACTACGAGGATTTCGAAGCAGGTTCGACAGGTCAGGATCGCAGGGGTGAAGATCCCGGTAGGGACACACCCAGGAGCCGTGGCAGGTACACCGACGATGGAGACGATCGCATTTTCCGTCAGGCCACTGATGATGAGCAGACACGAAGGGTTCGCTCCGATAGGAGCGGCTCTGAATCAGGTCACAGGCGCGGACAGTTCGACTTCATCAGCATGGCGATGAACATGGCCCGCCCTCATTCGGACGACCCGGAGGCGACCCCCGAGATCTCTTGTTCCAGGTGAATCGCAGGTCTCGGATGAGTTTGAGGACAGGCCGCAGGGACCAGGGACTATGGTTTTGGCTCCGGGAGGTATCTCGGGTCGATCCACTGGTTCTCAAAATCCAGGTCAGTTTGATGAGGCTTCGGATACGATGCTCTGTTGAAATCAACCGCAGGCTGGGGCAGTAGCGCAAAGCAGGAGCCTGATGCCGATAGGCCCAACCCTGTCGCTGCCGAGTTTGAGTTTGATAATGATGAAGATTATGCCGCATTTGCGGATCGTCGTGATGAAGAAGAGGATCAGTCGCGCCGGAATGCTAGAATCCGTGCTGCCGCGAGGCCCAGGAGCCTCTCTCGTGGAGCTGCCAGGGACCTTCATGTTGACAGGGACGCCCGGAGCGAGAGAGAGAGAGCCAGGGATAGCCGGGAAGTTCTTAGGGGATTGGAGGCCATCCATGACCGGGAGGGACCGATAGGTCCCCCAGTGATTGGTGATACCCCGAATGTTCCCCCTTTTCCCAATATTACATTTGGAGGTCCGCTGCATCAGAGAGACGAGAACTCGAACCGGGTTACTGGTTCGCCGAGGATCACTGAACGGGCTGCCGATGTCGTTGGGACAGGTGCAAGAGATGGTCGGCTTGCCGATGCACTCGGAATCGAAGATCGTCCGTCGATCGCTAGCCCGTTAGGGCGAGATACCAGTGACCTTGAAACGCTAAGGTCTAGCAACGAGTTCACACCTCAATGGGGCTCGATCGCCAGGGAACGTAGTGCTTCTGCGAAGAGGCCGTCACCCCTGGCCATTGAGACCGATAGGTCAAAGGCGAGGAGGGCTACTCACCAATGGGTTCAACTCCGCAGGATGAGGAGATGCTTGATCCTGCTGATGTTCACATTCACTCTACTCCCGAGTCTCGTGCATCCAACATTGATCCCCGATCTGGCGATAGCCGGAGAAGGGGATCTACCCCTAGCAGGCCGTCCAGGATAGGTGATAGTCCTGTAGGCGAACCCAGAAGACTTGCTAAAGCTAGTGGGGCTCCTGAGAGGATCGAGATATCGACTCCTCCAGCACGCAGGTCCCATTCTTCCGGTGAGTCAGGTGACGCCAGGGCAAAGGAGGTGTTTGATTTGCACATCCAGGAGATGCTCGAGAGGGGTGAGGTGTCTAGTTCAGTCGCGAAAGCGTTCCATATCTTTGCTGACCAAATCAGGTTACTGAACGGTCAGGTGGGTTCCATGCGAAAGGAGTGGAGCGACGAGAATCAGCAGACGAAGGACAGGGTCAATCGTTTGGCGACTGAGGTTGCGACTCAATCTGATGCCGCTAGGATGCGAATGATAGTTCAACGGTTTGCCAGCGAAGTTATTCCTGACAGCAAGGCCATTGTGAGGCAAGCCATCGATGAACAGGCTGAAGCCGTGGATCAGAGGATCAATTTGCTTTCCCACGAGGTTCATGAATCTGTTAAGGACAATGAGATCGCAACTGATCAGCTTCGTCAGATGATTCGAGAGAATCGTGAGGCCACCCGCAGGAGCCATGCTGCTTCCGAGGATGAGATCCTTAAGGACTTAGACAAGCTCGAGGGACGGATGATCTCGGTAGAGAAAACCGTTGGGATGCGGACGCCAGCAGGTGAATGGAATTTGAATCCTGCTGCGCAACCGCCCGATAGGGCTACCAGCAGTGGAGCGAACGCGAGTTTCAGGGAGTTAAACCTGAAGCTCGAGAAGGTTCTTCTTGAACACGAGAAGTTTGCTAAGTGGGCCTCCGAATCTATTGGTGGTATTAATGAAGAACAAATCATTCTTGCTGATCGAATGTCGAGGCTGCAAAGTGGGAGGGGGTCCCAGGCGGTCGATAGACCATCAGGGCCTGTTTCCCCGCAGGACTGGCATGAAGCAATTGACGAGGTCAATCGAAAGGTCCAGGATCTATCTCGCGGAGTTCAACGCCAACATCGGGATCATGACGATGTCATCGCGAGATTTGAGACCGTGAAATCCCATGTTGAGCAGTATGAAGCGAGATCGGGAATTCTGAGCCGGGTCCTTGATGACATCAGAGGACAGATCCGTAATCTCCCTGCGAATAGTGATCAAGCGCGGTCTGCCGTTAGGCGTGAACTCGATTCATTTCGGAACACGCTTGAAGGCGCAGTGCGGAGAATCACTACTGTCGAGAGTAACGTGCGTACTCTTAATGGAATGAACAACAGAATCATGGCTCAGCTCTCTGAAATTGAAGGTCATGTTGATGAGGCTGCTGACATTATTCAGGGTGTCCAGGACAATCAGATGAATCCTCAACAACCCAGAGAAAGACGGAATGTTGGCTACAATGCTTTTGCGGGGCAGGGACATAGAATCAGGTCTCCGACGCCCACTCCCGGAGAAGGTAACGGTCGGGGTACTGGCCTTCCGGTGAGACCGGGCGGGGGTGTTGATTTGGCTGATCATGTTTTGCCAAATGTGCCCGGTAGGGTCGATCCTTCTCATGCAGGCAGGCATCCCATTCATCCCGATAGGGAGAGGGCTGACAGCAGAAGCAGGAGGGCTCGGGGACTGCCTGACAGGTCGCATTCACCGCCAGGGCGTGCGAGGGATGGCCCCCGCACGCGCGCAAGGGGGGACATTTCTGTTTCTCCCAGCAGGGGTGTGGGTAGGAATAGGAGCCCGAGGCCTGCTGCCGTCCCCGATAGGGGATCTGAGGTCCGGAGTCGGCAATCGAGGGGGGAAAGGCCAATCCGCGATAGCGGGAGCATCTCTCCGAACCTGGATAGGCCGATCCGCGATAGCGGGAGCGTCTCTCCGAACCCAGACCGTCATCCAGGAGGTGGTATAATAGGGCCCATGCCGACATCCAGAGTCCCGGCGATAGCTGGAGGACTCCTGGGAGTAGAGCTCGTGCCGATATCCAGAGTCCCGGCGATAGCTGGAGGACCCCTGGAACTCCATCCGATCGTGGACGGGCCTCGGCACCGGCCGCAAGAGGAGCTCCCGGTACCGGGGGCCCAGGTGCGCCAAAGATCTGTGCCCTCGATGATCCCAACGACCGTAGGCGCCCGGACGCTGAATTCTCGTGTGTTACGTGCAATCGTGAGTTTTGCAGGCTTTGCCGGGGCGACGATGGGGACCGTTGCAATTGTCACTTCTTGAAGATGAAATGTTGGGCATGTCGTAAAAGTGCCCAGGAGGTCTCTATGTATTCCTGCACGGAGTGTGGGAACCACATTTGTGAGGATCACAGTCATTTTGGCAGTGATGGCCTCGAGCGATGTGCGCGCTGTTGTATTCGGCATGAACGCGCGGAAGCTGGGCCGCCCCCTCCTCCTCCTCCTGGGGGAGGAGGTGGGCAAGGCGGACCATCCGGCCAAGGTGGGGGCGGAAGTGATGGTCATGGACATGCTCCATTTCCACCACCAGGACCTGGGCATCCCGGCGGAGGCCAAGGTCCCGCTCGACCTCCTGGAGGCCCGAGTGGTGGGGCTCCCACCGGGGGATACCCTGGTGGAGCACCCGGGTTCTATGGTAGTGCTGCTGACTCTCATGGAGCTGTGAACAACCAGTGTGGTTCGAGTTTCTATGGTCCAGCCTTTGGGGGTGGTGTCTACAGTCAGGGCGTTGGTGCTGGCGTTAGTCAGCCCAATGTTGCTCCAGGCTACCCTGCAAGCATCGGGCATGCCAGTAATCCTGGAGCGGGTCAGTGCCATGGCTATTGCGCAAATGGTGCCGATAGGCCGGGGGATGGCGGTCTTCTTCCTGAAACAATCAGAGGAGACGACGGGCGAGACAGGTGCACCAAGTGTAACTTCAGGGTCCCCGTTACCGGCCCTCCTTTGGTCCCATGCGTTGGTTGTGGAATGAGGGCTTGTGAAATATGCTGTCCGTTACCGGCTAGGCTGTGTGAGAGCTGCAGGATCACGTCATGTACCCCGATAGGGGCCCTGATTTCAACCGTTGCTGATAAGGATCGGTACCATCACAAATGCAACACTATCACGTTGCCTCCTGAACCGACAGCTGATAAGCTTCGGGAATGGATTTCCGAGGTTAAGGAGAGGGTCAGGAACGTTTTCAGTTTTGACTCTGATTACGCGTTAGCGTGGATTTCAGAGACTGAAAGGCTCAACTATGACGCTCTTGGAGGGCCCTGCAAGTATCCGGTCTTGGATT